AGTCGCTGTTGATAGTTTGGCCCTTTTGAAGATAGTCGATGAAAATAATTCCTTGCACGTCCCAGAAAACAGAGGCCATAACCTTGCCTGCTGACTGTTGCGTCTTTCCACGTTTCGGAGGTGGTTCGGATGCAGCCGTCCACTCGGCCGACTGGCGATTTGACTCCGGTGTGTAGTGGTGGAGCCATGTTTCATCCATGGTGACGTATCGGCGAAAAAAATCGGTTTTATTGCGCAAAATCACCTCCAAACAGGCCTCAGAGTCGTCGATGCGTTGTTGCTTTTGGTCAAATGTGAGATTGCGCGGCACCCATTTCGCACAGAGCTTTCGCATATCCAAATATTCATGAATGATGTGACTGACACGTTCTTTTGATATGTTTAAGGCCTCAGCTATGTCAATCAACCGTATTTTGCGGTCTCCCAAAATTATTTTGTGGATTTTTTTCACGTTTTCGTCCGTAACGACCTCTTTTGGGCGTCCACTGCGTGCGTCGTCTTCAGTTGACATGTGACCGGTACGAAATTTAGCAAACCACTTGCGAATGGTTGCTTCGCCCGGGGCAGAGTCCGGATAACACTCATCAAGCCATTTCTTGCATTCGACGGCACTTTTTTTCATCAAAAAATAATGTTTCATTAACACACGAAACTCTTGACTTTCCATGGTTTTCAAAAATAACAAAAGTAGCGTCACTCTCGATACGATAACTCAAAAACTAATGATCCGACAGCTGTCAAATTTTGACAGGCATCTTTTGAAGGTTGGTACTAGCTAAGAAGCGTATGGATTTTATTCTGGTGGCGCCATCTCATAGAAACGATACGGACTTTTCAGCCCACCTGTTATATATATATATATATATATATATATATCAATAAAAGTAATAACGACTAAAGGTTATCGTTATAATTTAACGAACCAAATTTTATGAGTAAAACAATCCATACTTCACCTACATATATGGCAATTTCACCCAAATTGATACACATACATCATTTATATATTAAATTAAAATAAAGAAAATTATTTTATTGTGTTGCGTCATCGTTATTATATAAGTATTCTACAGTTTTTTTACCCGCGCATAAGGCCATCCTTCTGTGGGGTCTTCATTTATTTGTCTACTATAAAATTTTGTGTAATAGTTATTGTACAGACAAATATTGCTATAACATCTTTACTCTATAGTTTCCGTGTTTTGAACTCTAGCTCTCTATATTTTTACTGTTTTATCATCTTTTCATTTATTAAGCTTTATTGTACTACGTTCTGTGTGAAGACATTTTTGGTATCTATTTATTGTCCAATTGAATGTATTCACTTCGTCGGGAAGGTTGAGCAGAATAGTTTTTGTTCTATACTCCGCGTTTTGAGGGGCATTATATATTATAATGCCTTCCTTAATAAAGGCTTATTATTATATCTATTATGTATGTAGCTATGCTATCACTTGTCATGGTCTATAAAAAGGAACAGTTTACACAAAATGTTGTGCTTTATTTCTATCAGTTTATATTGCTTCGATTCTGTAATATATCAACAAAGTAATATACTTTTCTTATGAAATGGCGTTGATCCTCGGATCTAAATAAGCTTAGTAGTAGCTCAGATTAGAACACAAACCTTCTTCCGCAAGTGTCACACCTATACTTCTTCTCCCCAGTATGAATTGAAGCATGTAATTCCAAATTAGACTTTCTAAGGAAGGCTTTTCCGCAGATATGACACAGATGCTCCTTTCTCCCTGCATGAATCAATATGTGCGATCGCAAACTTCCTGCTACCAATACTTGTTTGCAAATTTCGCATTGAGCTTGGCTAGCGTTAATTTGTTCCTGATGCATTTTTTCATGTTGCAAATATTCTTCTTCTGTTTGAAATTCTTCGCCACACTTTACACACAGAGTGGTTTTGTTATCATAAATCTAAAATACTTCCATTTCTTAGAGGAACTGTGATATAGTAATAATAAAGTCAGATAAATTATGTAATTATTGAACAGAAGCAGATAATTTAGCAAATATTTTTTACTCAATGGATGTACCGTTTGTTTCCGAATTGAATGTGAATATTTGAGAATTCGATTTTTTGGGGCCATTTTAAGAAGAAAACTTCATATGAACGTATCAACTTTTGGTTGCATGGTTTTCACTTAAAAAATAAAATATGTTTCGCTGCATGATGATATTGACGTTAACGATATTGTTGTGATCATGCAGAGAATCAGTTTTTATTTTTTTAAGCGAATGTTGTGCTTCTGATTGAAAAAATCAAGCAATCAAATTTGATTAGAAATGAGTGGTAAGGTTTCAGGGATAATTTTTATTTTAAGAGAAATTAGTAGCATACCATCAATGTCTGTCAAAATGGTGAAATTCTGTACAAACGCCACTGGTGAAAGAAATTGTGGTGCATTAAAAAATGCGACTTAATACATAGTTCATTTCATGTATAACAACTCTCATTAAAATATCTAAAGTGATATGAGTATTACAAATTTTAATAGTAAATGTTTTTTTTTTTTAAAACTTTACCACCACGTATCTCATAAGTTAAGGGCGTACTTTCATATGCAGCTTTCTTCTTAAAATGGGACCAAAGATTGGCCCCTTACGTAGTCGTGCCATAAGTTCTGTCCCATGATAATCTCATGATAAAAATGAAACAAGATAAGATATGTTTATATGAAAGATATTATTTATTCGACAACATTTTTAGAATTCATAATCAAACAGTTTTATTCAAAATGTCCCCCCTTGGCCTTCACACACTGCTTCAATCTCGCGGGCCACTCATCTATCACTGCACGCACAGCTTCCAAAGGAATAGCTGCCGCTGATCGGATCAAATCCGCTTTCAGGGACTCGATATTACGGTGGGCTTTGGAGCAGGCCAACTGCTCTAGCAGGTCCCACAACTTGTAGTCTAAAGGATTGAGGTCCGGACTCCCTGAGGGCCAATCTTCCGCAGCAATGAACTCGGGCACATTGCTTTCCAGCCAGCGCTGCGTACTCTTAGCCTTGTGAGTGGGGGCGGAATCCTGCTGGTAGACCCAGTGTTGGTTGGCAAACAATGTACCACTTAAAGGCTTGACGATAGGATCCAGTATGTCGCTCTGATAGTTTGCCGCTTTTGTTTTCACGCCCTGTTTACAGAAATGGAGCTGAGTGACCCCTTCGTAGGACACCCCCCACCAAACCATGACTGACGCAGGGTGGTGGCCTCTCTCAACTCTCGGAATGATCTCCGAAGCTTCCTGTGAACTCCTTGCATACACTTTGTCATTTTGTCGGTTGAATTTTTCTTCTATGGTGAAGATTTTCTCATCCGTGAACAAAATCTTTCGGAATCCCCCAGCTGCGTACCTCTCCAAGAGCTTCTTGGATCTTGTCGCCCTGATGTGTCGCAAGGTGGCCGTAAGTCGCTGGCCCGTACGTCTCCGGTAAGCCCCTAGCCCTAGGTCTTGTTTAATGATGCGCGACATCGTCCGGACAGGAATCTTCATTTCCCTGGATAGGATCTTCTGCTTCCGGAGTGGATTCCTTTGAATCCTGGCTTTTACGGCTTTGATGGCTGCTGGAGTCCTTACTTGACGAGGTCTTCCGCTTCTTGGCCTGTCATCAACAGAGGACGTCTCATTGTACCGCTGAATGGTCCTAGACACAAATTTACGCGATATTTGAAGGCCGCGTAAGAGTTCAAAAATCTGACTAGCACTGTGATTACACTTATGTAAAGCTATCACTGCAATACGGTTCTCTGCCTAGCCCCACTCCATCGTTATGCTTCGAGAGATCAATACAAACTGAGGTATATGTAATTACCCGAAAAGCGCTTAATCAACTGACACCACAATGTAAACAATCGGACAAGTATTAACAGGTCTACACTTGTTTGAAAACGAGGGACAGAACTTATGGCATGACTACGTAAATATTGACATTTAATTAGGAAATATCCTGTATTTTATAAAAGTAAGAAGATTATTTTAAGAAAAAACACCTATACGAGTAGTCATTTATTGCTCTTGTGTGTACATGACAATATCTAGAGTATCTCAGGTTATTGAGCAGCACTGTATGTTGATATCAAAGGTCGGAGTACTGTAGTTAAACTATTTAGAAATTAATGTAACACCTGAAATGAAACCGCATATGTTTGAAATACTGTTTACTGATAATATTTTATCTATCTTCCAGGTGTTATTTTGTTTGATTGTGGAAAGGAAAAACAAATGAAATGTCATCTGGAAGATGGATAAACAAAATATATTGTCATCAAAAATATAATTTGTACTTAAAAAGGCCACCGAGGGGCCGACAAGTCACTAGTAAACAGTATTTCAAGCATATGTGGTTTGATTTAGCGGCCAGACAAATGTGGAGGATTATTTGGAAGTTATATACACGATTTATACAATTTCTAACTTGTGTTAAAATATACCTATGGCCACTTACTATATGAATTCTGAGGTGTTTGCGGTATTGAAATAATCGCTGGAAAGGTGCATCACATATCTTGCATCTATAAAGCTTGGTATCCTCGTGCACCTTTTCGTGGTTTCGTCTTACTTCCAATCTTGCAAATTCTAAAATTTTTGAAGTTTTGTTTCACAGACAACCACAATAAATTCAAATTCAACGTGTACTCGATGGAACGTCAGTCACGTGACACGAAATCGCATGGAGACGTATCACAGCGTGTGCCGAACTCTCAAGGTCACACACCATTTCTAAAATCTGAGTGAAATGGATAAATTTTCTACACTTTATTTTGTAGAGGTAGAGCACGAGTCATAAAAACACGTAAATAAAATATAAAGTTTATTATAGCATAATCAGTAAAAAATATATGTTCAGTAACAACTACGTGTGCGGTTATATGCCCCCTTACGGTGAATGCGCGGCATTATTAAGCACCTATAGTTTGTGGAAAATCAGGTCACGCAATTTAAATCGTAGTCGTTTACCCGCCATATTTAAAATGGGCGCCAAGTTTCAAAAAGGTGGTTCAATAGTGAGCAAATTTTAACTTTTAAAGCTCATTCTACTGTTTACTATATGAGCTTAATAATGCCCAGCAGGTTACAGGGTCGGCGAGCTGCATGCACCGCCGTATCGTCTCCCACTCCACCTTCCTGGTTTGGCATTGGTCCTCCTCCCCGTTTCTTGATATACATCAATGTGCTGATCACGCAGGTTATTGTTTTAGTTTAATGTTGTTTGTCGATAAATAGACTTTAAGCTAGACATCCAGGGCATTGACATGAAAATCACCAAATGACTGGACGAGTTTGCTCCACAGGTTAGGAAGTCCCCCATTGATCGTTTGTACAAGAAACCATACAAATATTAATATTTTGTTTCAGAATCAGATAAGAAAAACTGATTCTGTAATCTTACAATAAATTCAATTCAAAATTCAACGGTTCATGAAAGCGCGTGGCAACGTATCATAAAATATGCTGAATTTTAAAGGTTACAGATAATTTCTAAAATATACGAGAAGGTAAAACTTTTAGCGATAAGACTTTATTTTGTAGCGGTAGACGCTTAAGAGTTATAAAAACACGTTGGTATAATATCAAGTTTATTACAATATAATCACTAAAAAGCATATAACTAATTTCTAATATAATACATAAAAAATAAATATCGAATACTTTTAAAAATGGCGCATGACGTTTCAATATAAAATTTCATAATAAAGGAGGAATATTTACACAATGACAGCATAGATGGGCTTAAAACAGAATTATATACTTCAAATTCCAATTCTGATACTTTTCGCTATTCTATAAACTGGAAAGTATCACTCTGATTTTCAAACACGGTGTTTACTGTGCTAAGGAGGAAAAATGGCGTCAAGTAGTTTGGGTAGACACGAATCCATAGAATCCATAGAAAAATTGATGATAAAGAAGAAGATTATCAACAGACAAACATGTCATTTGAATAGATGTTTACGTCAATAAACGTCAAACGGCCGTTGTAATGAAGAGGTGTGTACCGGTAATGAAGAGGTGTGTACCGGAGCTTGCCCCAGTTCTTTCGCGTATCCTAAAGATATCGCATGAATCTGGAAATCATCCTAAAAAACAAAGGATCTAAAATTGACCCGTACAACTACAGCTCTGCTTTCTGTCATATGTAAGGTGATGGTGAGATGCATAAATCGTGAGCTTCTCGAGTACCTCAAACGTAGCGAAAGGCAGTATGGTTTACGACACTACCGATCCACGGGGGAGCTGTAGCTTACGTCATGCAATTAGAATAAACTCATCCATCGTTGATCTTTATATCACGAAATAGTTCGATCAGCTCTGGAATGTTGCTCTCTTATGCACATTTCTATCCTATGGCATCCCAGAAAAGCTTTGCAGATGGGTGGCTGACTTCCTCTCTGGCCGCAAGATATCCGTCGTAACTGACGGGTTCATCCCACAACGTCCACGCGGGTGTTTCCCGGGGATCGGTCTTGGCTCTGAAATTGTTCTTACACATCAACGACCTCCTCTCCTGTATGATCGATCCGATTTTGCTTTGCCCATGACAGCACCCTACATGCAGGAATACAGAGTGACAAGCCGACCTCTGCCAGTGAGTTTGAGAAAAGAAGAATAGCAGCGACTTCCTCTCTGTCGAGACCTGGAGGTTATCACTGCTTGGGGTGGAACAATCAGTACAGTTTAATGCTTCCAAAACACAGTACTGTACCTTGACTAACAAGAAGCGTACTAGCGTGCAGCTGGTTTTGATGGATAGCCGAGTTCTACCAAAAAGCCGATCATTTCGGCTGATCTGAGTCCAGATCACCGACGAATTGATCTGGCAGGATCACGTCTCGTCGACAGCGGGAGCTGCTGGGGAAAAGCTAGGCTATTTCCTTGGAGTAAAGAAGTTGATTTCTTCCACATAAACTCATTCTGCACAAGGCCCAGATAAGACCTAGCCACGAGTACTGCTCACATGTTTGGGGTGCTGTTCAGAGGAGGGCTGTCCGACTCATCGATTACTCTTCTCTATCGGATAGTCTCGGGACCCTTTCGTACCGGCGGGCCGTCGGTGATCTAGCTCTCTTCTACCGCTACGCCAACGGGCTTTACTCCTCAGAGCTCTCCTTCATGATGTCACCGTGCGATGTGCCTCTCAGACAGACACGCCTGACTTCGGACTCCCATCCGAACTGTGCCAAACTTCACACATCAAGAACTGGCGTATCGACTGCTCCTTTGTCCCTAAAGTATCGAGATTGTGGAACAATTTATATGAGGAGGCTTTTCCCAGTTCTACTAACTTTAGGCAATTCAGACATCGAATTATCAAATTGTCTTTAAGTTTATCATAGCTGTCGCAGTGCACTAGCATTTAGGTTTCTGCCTGCGCGGATGCTTCGGCGTAGAAAAAGAATGTGAAAAATTAGTTACCTTTCTATCAAAACTATGTTTTTCCATTTACTTTTGACAGCTTGACCCCCAACCACACAAGCGCCACCCAGCAGGAGCAAAATCGGTCATTATTGCCACTGGCATGAGAAGGTACAGGAATCGGCGTTTAAGGTATGAAAAAACGTCCTGAAAATATCTAATTATACTGAATCGGATCAACCTTGATCTGGTCCTGCTCAAGCATTATATGCACTGGGGACGAGTGCCTATAATGATTATTCATCGCAGCGTTACCAGTTGGCTGATGCATCGCTTCCGCATGAGCCTTGTGCTTCTTAACATGCTTATTGTACCCACTCTTCTCATGGAAACCCTTTTGACAGACGGGACACACATACGGGGTTTCCCCTGTATGTATCCGCGCATGTGCTCTCAGGTTGCCGGCGCTGACAAACCGATTACCGCATACACCGCATTCGTACGGTTTTTCTCCGGTATGTGTTAGCAAGTGGGTTTTTAGGTGCGCCCTCTGACGGAAGCGCGTATGGCATACGTCGCATTCGAAGGGTTTCTCGCCGGTGTGGATTTTCTTGTGGCCTACCATCGTTTGAAGGAGTCTGCAAGCAAACAAAGAAATGCCGAAATTGGTTAAATATCAATATTCAAGATAAACTAAAACACAACACGTTCACATGAGTTATGACTTTTGTTAGTATTATCTCATATGTCCAAGCATGAGCTTGGGTGCATATTTCTACATCATGAATGTATAAAATCAATTCTAACCTTATCATAGCTACAAGCTATTATAGTGGTTATATCATTTGCGAAATGGCAAACTTATTCGTTCCTGTAAAACTCATGGGCACATGCATTAGTCGTATCTATGAAAATATATGTCGGAATCATTCACCATTGTAAGACGGCTCCGAATACAACACTATTCAATCCTTCAGCTTTCGAGTATCGCGCACTCAGTGCACAAGAAATAGAAAAAACTAATAAGATTTCAACCGTTTTGTCAAGGTATAAGATGCAAAATAAGCAAATGTCAAAACAATATTATCTGGATCATCAGACACCTCAAAGTACTAAGGTAGTGTTTCCCTTGCACGTCCTAGGGCCGAATCTTCAGTCGTTCCAACAATTGTAGGACGTCTTTATGGCCTCCTTTATTTTCATAGTCTTTTCTCTCCTCCAGAAAGGCTGGGGTATTCCTAAATTTCTACTGTCCCGTGTCAACGTCAGCGCTCTCCTATTGTGAGGCTATATTCTCTTTTTGAATTGTAGGAAATCTCAGGCTGATATAACAGATGATATAAATCAAAAGCATGAAAATAGATATTTGTAACATAAATTCAAAATAGAGCGCTGACACGGAACAGTAAAAAGCTATGAAAATCAAGGAGGTCATAAAGGTGCCGAACAATTGTAGGCACGACTGACGATACAACCCTTAGTCAAGGTCATTGACAAGGACATACTTGAATGTAAAATTCTACGCTCTTTGCATTCCCCGAATAACAAATAGGATTACCCCGTTGAAAGAAACAAGATAACATGATCTCGATGGTAAAATGTTTCGATTTTTTCATTTCCTCGATATAAGTAGGATTTACTTAAAAACTGATTTGATCTTCAAATGATCTTAAAGATCATTGACAACGACATACTTCAACTTAAATGTTTCGCCATATGCATCTCAGGAATAAAAAATTGATGTTCCTGTTACAAAATTAATTTGACCTTCGAATGACTTGACGGTCATGGCCAGCACAAGGTTGGATGCAAAAATGTTTCGCCCTTTACAATTCCGTAATCAAAGGTAGCGATATCCATACTGACACGAAATTGATTTGAACAACGACATAATTCCGATGTCAAAAATGCAGTTTTCCATTGAAAAAACTGACACGTTCAAATTACATTGAAGGTCAAGTCCAAGGTCACCCTTTTCAAATATTGCAATATATTTTCATTCAATTACACATTTTCCTACTTTTTTCATTTGATTCCCTATTTTGTTGATTTAGTACCTGAAAGCCTTCCCGCAGGTTTCGCACTTAAACGGTTTTTCTCCCGTATGAAGCCTAATATGCTGCTCCAAATAACTTGGAGCTATGAACGTCTTCCCACAGGTGGAACACAGATAATCCTTCGATTGCCGCACTTGCCCTTTTTCTTTGATTTTCTTCTCGCATGGCATTACAGAGTGCTTGTCGAAGTAGTACTTGGAGAGGAAAGAACGACCGCAAATAGGACAGAGGAAGTTCATGTTGCGCTGGTTGGATACCTAGAAGAATTACAAGTCATTCCAAACAACGTAAGGTGGGTAATATTGATTAACGTTATTCTCAAAAAAGATGCCCAACCACATTCCATCCGGTTACTGCAAACACCAGATAACTCCCAAAATGCAGTTTTAGTAACTGGCATTTAAATATAATAATAATAATGATAATAATAATAATAATAATAATAATAATAAATGCGCTTTATTTCGTACAAAAGTACAAAAAGGCGAAGTGTCGCTAAGAGTAGCATTTTTCAACCTTGGAAGCAAAAAAATTATAATACAGTACTGAACTAATAGAAATGTATGCATATTACTCAATAATAACTAATTAATATTAACAACGCAAAGATATAAACAATTACAAGAATAGTCCATATTTCCAGCATCTTGTGTTCATTATCAAACTTCGGCGTGCAATTTCATTTTGAGTCTCTTTTCAAAATTAAATAATGAGTAATTTTGGAACATAACAGGCAGATCTGTATAATTTAAAAGCGTTGTAACTGAATGATTTTTTGGAGAAGTGGATGCCTTTAATCTGCAGAACTCCTTAAATTTATGACAAATATGATCAATCTTTCGTATTCCGCAAGAAAATCTGACGCACGAATTCTAAATACGCCGTAATTAGCTTTGCGGTGCCATTCATAGTGTCACAATAACTAATTTTTGACATAATTGATGTCTCACACAGTTTCAGTTTTAATGAACAAGGCATTATTTGCCTATGCGGATAAAATTGCTTCAAAATGCAGTATGATGAACATGCACATAATGAATTCACATGCTTTTTGTATTCTAGTTCTGTTTCAATCCAAAGTCCCAAGTTTTTACACGCACTCATTATAGGAAGCCGGTTATCCTTGATTAATTTACGTTTCGATCAATGTTCTTTTGTTTTTGGAGAACTGAAGATTTAGATGGATTAATTTTTAGGTTACGGGAGTACGAGATGTCTACTAGGCTTGTTAAATCTTCGTTGATTAATGCCTCTGCCATTTTAAAATCTGTATGTTGAAAACTAAAATAAAACTGATTATCATCAGCATAATGATGGTACAATTAAGGGCATATTGACGGAAATCTGATATATACAGAGATACAAGTAATGGACCCAATATGGAACCTTGAGGAACACCCTACCTTATAGTAGTTGACTCCCGACATTTTTGAAGCTGATATGACCTTTTGATTTCTATTTGACAAATAATAGCGTATCAAATTGACTACAGCGTCAGTAAAACCATAGCAAGATAAAGAATTATGCTCCGAAAATAATAACAATGTATCGACTGAACAACTTAGGGGGCGTCAATATAAATTATGTAAAGAAATCGTTTGGAATCAGCTAAGCGAGAATGACATCAATGCTTCATCTATAATCCATTTTGAAAACTGCTTTGATTTAGAAATGGATAAATGGCAATGTGCGTTCAGTCATTACACAATGTAGTATTTAATCATAACTTGTTATAAAGGGTGTTCAGATAAGGACGCTCGAAAGTTAAAATGGAAAAAAAAGGAAAAAAATTTAAGTCAGCACTAAAAGTCTATATTGATCGTAAATAGCATTCGACGACATTATGTATGGAAGATTATATCGTTTAAATGGCCACCGCGACTGCGCTGTACAGCGTGCATTCGCATGGTCCAATTTTCGAGCACTTTTCCGCACATTTCAGCGTCTACCTGTCCGAGGACGCGAATGATGTTGGCCCTTAATGCTGCAATTGTTTGTGGCTTATCCGCATACACTTGAGACTTCACGTAGCCCCACAGGAAAAAGTCTAAAGGCGTTATATCGCACGATCTTGGTGGTCAGTGCACATCGCCGCCGCGCGAAATAATGAAACCGTTGAACTTTTCATGCAGTAAATCCAGCGTTGCGCGTGCGGTGTGGCACGTAGCGCCGTCCTGCTGGAACCAGATGTCTGTTAGATCCATATCGTCCAGTTGAGGCCACAGGAAATCATTAATCATGGCGCGATACCGATCTCCATTGACCGTAAGCGCGTTGCCCATAGCGTCCTCAAAAAAATATGGACCGATTACGCCGCCAGCCCAGAAACCGCACCATACAGTCACTTTAGCAGGATGCATAGCAATTGAGCAAGTCACTACAGGATTTTGGTCAGCCCATATACGGCAATTCTGTTTATTGACATACCCATTCATCCAGAAATGCGCCTCGTCGCTGAAGATGATTTTTCGTGCAAATGCAGGGTCGACTTGCAACTGCTCTAGAGCCCATGCGGCAAATGTACGGCGCTGTCCATGGTCTTGCGGTTTCAATTCTTGCGTCAATTGAATTTTGTACGTGTGCAATTTCAAGTCTCGACGCATAATTGTACATGTTGAGGTCTTTGGAAGGGCAAGTTCTTGTGCACGTCGCCGCAATGACTGATTCGGGTCTTGACGCACGCTCTCTCGCACAGCAGCAATATTCTCGATTGTTCTTACTGTTCGTTGCCGTACGGGTGTTGTTTGGTCTGCCACTGAGCCAGTTCTCTCAAATTTATTGAGCAGACGTCGAATAGTGGACTCAGCAGGACGGCCATGCGCACCATAAATTGGACGCAATGCGCGGAACGTTTCACGAACCGAACATCTGTTTTGATGATAAATTTTCACAATTTCCACGCGTTGTTGAATTGTGTACTGCTCCATGATTAAATGTCAAGACTAACTTAATAACCTCACAAAATTTGACAGCTGTATCCCCACCGGTTTGGGCGCGCGCGCCGTTCAAACATCGAGCGTCCCTATCTGAACACCCTTTATATTAGGGATAACAAAATAAGATAGCACAAGGTGCTGTCAGCTTTCGTTCGTTATCCACTCAGACCATGCTGATTTGTCAAATAGCAAGAAACATCTGTCCACGGTTGGCTGTCGGTCAGCATGGGCTGATGAATTGCCAAAAAGCATGAAATAGCTGTCCATGGTTGGTCATCTGTGGTCTGACGAACAAAAGCTGTATTACTAGTTTGATAATAGTGACAGTTACATCGGTCATTGCCCGCTATTATATTTTTCATAAAATAAAACCTATGGGGAGCAATACAGCAGCTTTTATGTTCTATTGTACCATCTTTTTAAATAGGACTCCACAATATTTTTATGACCCTATTTTCTTTGCTTTGCTGCTACTATACCGGGTGTTTCAAATTCGACCCTCACCATTTCGATCACGGAAACTGTAAGAGATGAGAAGTCGGTTAAATGGAGGTAAAGTTGCTTATTTAGGTTATTAACAAATTTCCTGTTAGGAAGTTTAGAAATTCAAAGAACTTACTGAGAGAGACGGGGAAAAACTAATTTTCCCAAATTCATTTTAATGTTTTCCTTACATTATTTGTAGTGGGAATAACAGAGTTTTTAATTCTGATTCCAAAGATGTATAATATATTGCCAAACCTTAGCTATTTCAAATCAAGCAGAATTTCTTAGGTAGGCCTTGAAATTATCAGATTTATCTTAAAATCATTTTTATTTTTTATTACCTTATTTGAGATTTGATTTTAGAATAAATTACACGCTGTCATTGTTACTTATTGTCCTCTGTAAGATGTTAGTAAAATTTTCAATGCGAGGTTTCTCCATCATTCGGCTTCCATCACCAACGTTTTTCCATATGGACGCTATATTAGAATTTTATACGTTTAAATGGACTTTTCAGTTCCAGATTCAGTGAGGTATTTCCTTAGTTAGCCATGAATTTGTTGTTGGATGAAAATTATAAGGAAATAAAAAGTTATGGTGAAACCTGAACACAAAATGCAGATGTTTAAAATGTCCATTATTTTGCAGGCAAAGCCTTATTATTCTAGGCCTACCTAAGAGCATCTGTTTTCTGGAATAACCAAGGTTTGGCAATGTCAATGTGTGACATATTATACATTTTTGGAGTCAGAATTAAAAACTATTCATCTTGCCAAAAATCCAAAAATTAAGTTGATGCTGGAGGACAAGAGACTAAATGTCATCTTGAAATTATAATAATCCCATCTGGTAGAGGTGAAAAAGTGACAATGTTAATGTGCAATTTAGTTTTGAAATCCCACTACAAATAAAGTCAGGAAAAATTAAAACTGTTTTGGGAAATTTCATTTTTTTCTGCCACTCTCCGGAAGTATTTTGAATTTCGAAACTTTCTACGCAGCCGTTGGTAAGTTACCTAAATACGCGTTTGTCCCCATTTAAGCGACTATGTATCTTTTGCCATTTTCGAAATCTCAATGGTGAGGGTCGAATTTGAAATGCCTAGTATACAAGTATGAACCGCCTATTTAGCCAAAACACGCCGAGAAAACATAAAGAGTTTTCTTGTGTACGCAATATTCATAATTTTAACTAACCATTTTCTTTTTGACGGTATACTGCTCAACATGTGTCCGTCTGTGATGACTGAAATGTGAAAACGTCTGGAAAGATTCTCCACATATCTTACAGACATAGGGTCTAGCTCCAGTATGTTTGTTCATGTGATCATTCTTCGTATATGCTGCTGTAAACTCTGAAAATGCAAAGAAATTACAAAGTTGATCTCAGTATAATACCAGAACTTACAACAGTCTTTAAGCTATGTCAGTCAGCACCCACTACCCATTTGAAGTTATTTAAAATCAACATTATAACAATTTTTACAATCTCCCATTTGATACTTGACACGGTGTTGTAAAAGCCTGGATACGGCAAATAATCGTGAAAACCAGGTGTCTAAAGAATCTACCCAGACATAGGTGTAGAATTTTTATCCGGATATATAAAGATTACCTTGAATTTGACCTTGGCCGTTAAAGTAATTATAAAATCATATTATTGAGACTGGGAATGGCCATAGCGGAGAATTTCACGTTGAGGCGAGTTCCTGGCGTCTAAAAAATTTGACATTTGAAGGTCATGGTGAATGTCCGATATCTGATCAACAAATAATATCTAATCGGTAAAATAATCTCTAAAAGAAATTCTCCTGATTATCTGACGATGAGAGGTTATTTTGTCGATCAAACATTTGACCTTGACCAGTTCAAACGTCAATTTTTTTTTGGAAAACTCACCTGAACATAAAATTTTCCGCAAGATCCATTTGCAGTGTTAAAAATACGGTGCCTTGTTGGTTAGAGCTTGAAGGTCAAGGCCAAATTAAGGATTATCATCAGATAACGGGGGAAAGATCTTACGCCTATGCACAGGTACAATTTCTTTAATACTCATGGTTTTCGAGATTATTTGCCGTACCTTCTTTTTGAACACCCTGTATAAAGCCAAAAAAGGGACTATGACTATGACTTGTTAATTTGTTTTTCTTTTTCTATCCATCAGCCAGAACGTCAAAAGTTTATAGGGACCTAAAGTAAACCTTATAATCGCTTTTTAAGACTAGCTGAATGCTGAAGAGCAGCAGCTAGAATGATCACAGCCTCGCACCCCTAAAATTACAAACTAAACAAAGTTACCAATAAATCGTTTTATTACAAAAGTATACAAAGCAAAATATACATACACAAAATCAGTTCACTTTGTCTTTTCTTGCATGCTCTTAGCGTCTTAGCCTTACAAGTTTTATATCAGATTCAATGATAAAAACATCCAATCAATCTCACAAAAATCGCGAATTATTTTATACAATTTCTTGCTTTTCCACATGCTTCCTCACATGCTTATTGTACCCACTTTTCTCATGAAACCTTTTTCCGCAAATATGGCACACATACGGTGTTTCCCCAGTATGAATCCTCATATGCGTCCTCATATTTCCTGCACTGACAAACCTATTGCCACACATCCCACAGGCATACGGTTTCTCGCCGGAATGCGTAAGCGAATGCGTTTTTAGATGCGCTCTTTGTCTAAATGACATATGACATATGTCGCACTGATACGGCTTCTCCCCGGTATGCACCCTTATGTGTTCCTCCATTTTTTGCAACAGCCTGAATGACTTCTCGCAATACTCGCATTTGAAAGGCTTCTCTCCTGTATGAATTCTAAAATGCTGCTCAAGTAAACTTCTGGCTCTAAATATTCTTCCGCAGATTGAGCAAAGATGCTCTTTAGAGTTGGTGTTTGGCTTGCGTTGTTTCTGCCCCGCAGTTTCGCAGGGTTGTTGAGTGTGTTGCTCGTAACATTGCCGATTGTAGAATTTTAAGCCACATCCGCACACGTGGACATCAGTTTGGGCACGTGGCTCACGCTTTCTGAAAAATTCATTCATATGAATATCAAATGAGATTGAAGATTTGAAAATGAATTTATACTGATGCCTGGAAAATACTACTTAGACAGCGTGCTTACCGAGAGCAACTGGCAACCATAAACTGACGGGAACCGACTTGGCACATGTATTTAAATACAAGTGTTCACACCAAAGAGACGGAAACGCGGTCAGTTGTTCAATGGGAGGCACATCGCTAGTCGAGTCAAGGCATTCTACCCCAGCATAGAACCTAGGATTTTTTCATGGCTCCTGACAGTGGCTTTAAATTTAACCTTCACCTTCAAGGTCAATATTTTTTAATGAATGATAATTTATTTTAGGACCATGATTTTCGTGATTATTTTATCGATAAGAATTTTGGTCTTGACCATGGCATTGAATGGTCAAATTTTTATGGAGGTCAAGAACTCATTGAGACCTTAAACTTTTCATTGTACACACTATCGATGTCAAAAAAGGACGGAGTGGAGCGCCGTAAAACATAATAGTATTAAAACCTCGGAACCCGATTCCACTGAATAGGTTTTCCTTAACCTTGTCGGTTGCGTTGTTAAAAGCTCAAATAAAAAAGTTCACCCATCATAATTTTACGTTCTCCGTTACAATTTATAACAACAATTAACTAAAACCACTAGAGACGAAATTGGAAATTATTTTTGATACCACTTTTTAAAACATATATTGTGTTTTTGAATTTTACATGACTCACACCTCATGAGAAATTTTGGTCAGATTACTTCCTTTTCGAGGTAAATGATTTGAGTATATGACTGAAAATCCGAATAAATATAAACTATATTACCGCTAATAAATGAAGATATCTAAATCTATTAAAATCGAGTACCATACTGTATTAATAATGAATAATATATATATATATATATATATACCTCGCCTGAGGACGCAGTTCCTTAATGGCTACCGTCGATTGAAAGAGTTTCATCTAAATCACTCAAGTAATTTAAGAGAAATTAAGAACACCAGTATCAGAAAAATGAACTTAGTAATGAAGCCGTAAAATAGACGAGTTCACATGAACGGTTTTGTTCAGTTTGATAAGATCTATCAGAAGGTGTACTATAAACATGAATAATCATATACATAAAAAAAAATAATAAAAACGATTGAAAATGAATAGCGTCCAAAGTTAATGAGTAAACTTTTCAATAAACAGTATTTAAAATACTTTCCACTAAAAATCTCATAAAGCCATTCAGTGGAACTGGTTCAGAGGTTTGAATCTAGGGCCACACTACTGATGGTTTTCATTTTTCAAGATTTGCCATATCAGGACTTTTTGAACATCGTCCATAGTCAGTGCATTTATCCACAACCTCAAAATGAGACTACCAGTTGCTTCAGCGGTAACGAATCTGCTGAAGTCGAGTTACGGTAGAGTTGGTTTTGATGAATACATTGCCTAACACAAGTGCATTCTGTACCTGACTGGATTATCCATATGCTGCTTCCTATGTTGACTGAAATTGGCGAAAGTCTGGAACTTCATTCCGCAAATCTTGCACTCGTAAGGATACTCTCCGGTATGTTTGTTCATGTGGTCATTCTTTGTATACAACGTTGTAAATTCTGTAATAGCAACAGAGAACAAGCTGTCAACGTCATCAGTTCACAGGGAGTTGGACCATGATTCTCTAAGTAGTTAATCAAAATTTGCATACATGCTTTGCACATCATTCAAGAATTGAAAGATATTTGAAATTATGTATTAAATAGATTGATTAGTACAAAGCCATAGGATTGATAATTAACATACAAATGTACAAAGGCATATTGTGCAATGGGGATAAAAAGGTAAACAAAATATTTTAAAGCATTATAATAAGGTAATTTTATAAACTTTTATCTATATAGGATCTAAACATTACAGATATAGTTGAATTATCAAGAAATATTTTTTATCTGCAAATGATTTATTGTACTCGTAGGCCCAACTCCCAACAGTCAGTCAGTACAGAAAACGAAATGTACAAAAAAGACCAAAAATAGTAGTCGCGTCATAAGTCAACGTTTGTAAGATCACTGAGAACATGCTATAATCACTTTTCACTTTAAATCGGTGGTAGACATTGATCCTTATCTTAGAGAATCATTTTGCAACATTCACATATACACATGAAACCGTCGATTGGGATCTATTTTTAGTAAACTATAAGGTTCGATATACACGCAGGTAGACATCTATCTACTATAGAAAATAGATGATTTGTGATATGATATGTGGATATTTTTTCTTACTAAAAACAAGTGAATTGTTATACTAGTTTGTTAATAACTTCAAGTGGGTAGTCTCAGTCCAACAAAATCTGTACAATAATTAGAAACTACTACTATATGTAAATACAGGAAAATTAAACTACAGAATTTATATACTTAACTTAAAAATCAAATACACAATCACACATTTACAGGCACCAAGAATCACACTCACTTCTTAAAAATCACATTCTCTCGCGAGAGAATAAAATTGCGATTTTTTAAACAGGTTGTTTAGCAATAGCCATTTCAGTTTAAACTGCTAAGGATATTCTAACAAATAATTGATACTCTGTTCAAGCACATCTTCAAAAATAAATTCTGTAAAAAAAGCAAATTATACTGAATACATTATTGAAGCACATTTTCATTTCAAAAAATGGATACTATTGAATATTAACTATCAAGGAAACTTCCGATAATAATTCTCATCTGATTTACATTATAAATTCTATGTACATGTACAATCACTGTATACAAGAAACACTTCATCTTGTATTGGGACACAGACACACCCGTACAGATTCTAAACTGTTTTTTCTTTTTATAATTACCTTTTCCACATATGTCACATTTGAATGGTTTTAGTCCTTTGTGAGCTATTTTGTCATGTCTTCTAACATTATGTTGAAATTTGAACTTTTTACCACAAACCTAAAAAAAAATTTAAACAAGCTGAAATCACAAAATATATTCAAATAATAACAAATATGCTAAGATTAAGTCTTATGTAGTAGTCAAATGTTCTGCAAATCTGTAATAGTGGCATTAATAGCAAATCTGTATTTCCAAAGGGAGTATTTAAATTTAATAACTTGAATAATGATATTAATCAGTGTTCAAATTTAAAAATGCTTAAGATGAAATGAAAAAATCACGTTGAGAATTCCCCACGTAATTTTAATAGACAATAATGTAAAATTATATAACAACGATTAAAACATGGGTAAAAGAATAATTATAAAAAACAACTGACACAGTAGCATTAATGCTAAATAAAGCTTCAACAAACAAACAGCTCAAGCCGCCTACAAGCTATACTTAAAAGGTAAAACGATGTATGGAGATATTTGATGATTATTTGTTGAAAAAATATAGTTCGTGGAAAAATTAGTGAGGAAAATAACCTTGCATTCATAGGGTGTATCTTCATTGTGAGACTTCATATGAGTCTCCATCTTATACCTATATGGAAACTTCATGCCACAAGTATCACACTCATACTCTTTTCCTTGATTGCATTCAGGATTTTTCATTTTGTGTTTGTTATAGTCTTTCCTAAGGTTGAATGTGACATTGCACACATTACACTGTACAGGCTTCCGAGATACTTTGACTGGGGAATCTGATTTTTGTCTGGTTTTTCGTCTCCTTTTGCGCGGCTAAAAATTTTAATAATCAATTCAGTAACTGAAAAATAAAGTAAGGCAATCTAACTGTTTTTTGACATGTAGTTTTGGTCAATTTCGCTTCCTGCGCCAATAGATGAAAGTGGTTATGTAATCATGAAAAATTTTGAATTGTAGATATATTTTTCAGATATTATAGGACATACATCACTGAATTCAGTAAATTGTGATTAGCTGTATTTGTCAGTCACAACCTGCAATTAGGTAAAATAGCCAGATACAGTGACACTTAGCTATAATTATCAGATGCAAGTTGCAACTATAATGTCTGCTACAATTGACAGATGCAAGTTGTATTTAGCTATAATTCACTTAATTAGAGATTGCAATTGGAATTATGGCTAATTGCAATGTATAGCTGCTTGTAGTATATATATGTATGTATAATTGGAGTATTAATATATAACCATACTGTATATTAAAATGTATTTAGAATTAGCAAATTGTGTAAGTAGGTTAGTGAGATTGTTTAGAAATATAACTATATTATTATTAATACTTTTATAAACGGTGGTAGGCATAAACGATTGTGGAATGCAAGTGTAACTTTTTCTGGGTTGGAAAATATAATTACTTTTTAACTAGTAAGATCTATTTACAATTATACCTAATTATCTTTTAACTGGTGATTCTAGCTAATTGTAACTTTTAAATGATGATTATAGCTCATTGTAGCTTGTAATTGGCAGTTATAACTAAATGCAACATGTAACTGACAATTAAAGCAAACTGCAGAATTATTACTAAGTGCAGCTTGCAACTGACATTTATAGCTAACTGTAATGTGCAGCTAATAATTATAGCTAACTGTAACTTGTGGATTACAATTATACGTAATTACAAATTGTAACTGACATTTATAGCAAGATACCAAATAATGTATCTAAATACTGTATCTAGTTGACAAATAGCATGAAACAGGCAAACAATAGCTATATTATTAAATCTACATTGTAACATTGTATATTGTTAAAAAAAGTGATATGTTATTTCATATATACCCTTTTCTCTGATTTAACTGAAGTATCACTATCATTCTCTTCCTTTACTTCATCTGTAGCCTCTTCATCTTTCACCTCTTTCTTCTTTTCTTTCTCATCTTCGGATCCCCAATCTGGATCCAACACATTATCATCTACGAAGTCATCTAATTCATCTTCAAACTTACTTTTCTCATAAACTTCCCTGAGACATACATCACTTGATTTTGACTCTTTTATAAATTCTAAAATGGTCTCCAAGGTATTTGTACATTTGTTGCAGACATTTTGAGGTAATATCTCAAAGTCCAACTAAAATTAGATCAGTTTTGTAAGATCATGTACAAAAATAATGTTTCTGAATCATATTTTTCTGTACACCAAAGGGGCCGAGTAGGCAGTAATCTAAATGCTGGGGCACCATGGCTGCTGCAAGGAGCTTAAAAACGCCTGCCTAATCTGTTCAGCCAATAATGATTTGAGTGAAGGGCACAAGTAAAAGGAAAGAAGAATTATAAAGTACACTACTATAAAGAAGCACCCATTTCTAAAATCATTAGAATTGATTTTTATTAGGTCTCAGAATTTCAGATATATCTTCAATGTTAACTAATAACAATAAAAACGAATATTTATCTGACAAGAAAAAGTAAGAACTCCTTGATATAGATCTACAAGCAGCAAAAGATCTTTCTATAAAAAATATACCTCTATTCCTGTGATGGTTTTGAAAATGTCTATTAATTCTTCCGTTGTAAAGGGCTTGAGGTCACCTCTATTCATGCATATCCTACAAATAGTGGGAAAATCGTGGATTGTTAAAGTATCTTCCATTTTTCCCTAAGAGTATAACCGCATTTGAATCACAGAAGTATGTGTAAACCGCCCATTATTCATGCACTCTAAGCTTGTACTGATTTTATAATATAATAATCATGTTTAAAATCATTGGTAAATGTTCATGGTTTCAAAAAATGAGCAAGCTTTTCCAACAATAAACTCGGTTTGTTTTGCTTTTATTTGTGGCGTTATGGCTTGACAAGTGACGTTTGTGGTACTATATCTAGTAGTCCCCGGACTCCTAATACTCTAAGCATACTCGACTTGTACTCGCAGTACCTAGCAACGCTGCAATACTAAGCGAAGTTTCTTGACTTTAGTCAAGGTTTGTTTTCAATATTTCATTCAGATTTTTTAAGCGTTTGGCAACAATTTTGAGAAAATTTTTGCTGCAGATAGTCATATTAACGCTAGTAGAGAACTCTTCACAGTTATATATTTGTTCCACTGAGTCCAGAATAGATACCTACCACAATTCTAATTTTTACATCAAGCGAGTTTGCTTTTCAAATTACTCTCATAGATAACTAATATCTGTTTTAAAAAATCATGGATTTTGTCCAATTAATGTACAGAGTTTTCCTATGAGTAAAGCATTATGCTTGAAGCATATATTTGGTTATGCATAAACACTAAGAACAAAATTTGTCTGATGGCTTGAGTTCAATGTGTATGCAAGGGCGGATTTAGGATTTCGTTTAGGAGGGAGGGCGCAAAGGAAATTTGGGGCGGGTCATTTTTTAATCTCAGTTTAACTTCTAGAATTTATCCTATTATTGCTTCTTAAATCCATTGTGTTCTATCTGATCAAGGCCAGCTTGAAAAAAAAACATGGAAAATGCTCAGAAATCCTCAGAAACGCATTATTTTATTATATGAGAACAAAATAAGTACGTGGCATTTATAATTAACTAGTGTAATAATGTTAAAGATTCAAACATGAAAAACTTCGTTGCTCTGTTAACCGAAAAAAAAAACATTCTGAGGGACCCCGAGACATATCCCAGAGTCCATTCCACACAAAACAATCTCTTTGATTGCGAACACGAACATGAGACCAAAAAATTCACATTATGGTATGGACGCTAGACAAGACAAAGAAGGATGTCTATAGACCATCTATAGATGGTGTCATGAGGCTGTCTCCAGACTGCCTATAGACAAATTGCGCAACGGGGTCTACTAGTATGTTCTAAGCTTAAGGATTAAGACTCTGAACTGCCCATTAAACAAATCAAGTAAATGGTGCAAATACTGACACAATCAAGCACTTCTATTATATCAGCAGATGATAAAAATATCAATAGGTATAGTCAATTATTATTTTTTATACCGAAGCAGCCGCGCAGACAGAAAGAAGCCTAAATGCCGGAACACCGCGGCTGCTTTGATGAACTGCCTGAGGTTAGTAGAACTGGGAAAAGCTTCCTCTTGTAGACAAACAAATAGCCTAACTTTTTCCCAGTAGCTGCCATTATTGACAAGATGAGGTTAGTAGAACTGGGAAAAGCTTCCTCTTGTAGATAAACAAATAGCCTAACTTTTTCCCAGTAGCTGCCATTATTGACGAGACGCTTTTTGTTCATCAAGGTACAGTACTGTGTCTTGGAAGCATTATATTGTACAAGATTGTTGCCCCTCCAAGCATTGATAACCTCCAAGTCTCTCGCCAGAGAGGAAGTCGTCGCTAGATGTCTTTTTTCTAGCTCAGCGGCAGAGATCGGCTTGTCACTCTGAATTCCTGAATGTAGAGTGCTGTCATCAGCGAAGCTGTGGATTGCGTTGATCATGCAGAAAAGGAGGTCGATGATATGTAAGAGGAATAGTGTCGGAGCCAAAACCGATCTCTGGGGAACACCCGCGTTGACTTTGTGGGATGAAGAGGAGAACTCGTCAATTACGACGAATATCTTACGGCCAGAGATAAAGTCAGCCGCCCATCTGCAAAGCTTTTCTGGGAAGCCATAGGATAGAAGATTGCTTAAAAGGGCAGCGTGCCACAGCTGATCGAACGCTTTCATGATGTCAAGAGCAACGACATGAGTCTCACTATAAGACTGGATGTAAACACTCCACAATTGCGTGACGTAAGCTAGAAGGTCCCCTGTGGATCGCTGTTGCCGCAAACCATACTGCCTGTCGCTAATGAAGCTGTAACGTTCGCGGCAGTCCAGAAGCTGGCGGTTTAGGCACATCTCCATCACCTTACTTATAACAGAAATCAGAGCTATAGGCCTGTAGTTGTAAGGGTCGGTCTTAGATCCCTTTTTTGGGATGGGTTGGACATGAGCGAATTTCCAGTTTTCTGGGAAGGTGCCAGATTCATAAGATATCTGGAAGAGACACAAAAGAACTGAAGCAAGCTCCGCGGCACACATCTTCAGTCCAATGGCAGGAATCAAGTCCGGGCCAGATGCTTTGTTGATGTCGAGCCACAAGAGCACTCGTCTTACGGTCTTATGCCTGTTACTTCCCGCATAGTTGCAGGGAACGCTTTGCATTGACAGCACTTGGGCGTTGGAGGCGGGTTGTCCATGGTGGAGTTGGCAGCCAAGATCTTGGCAAGCACTTCCGCCTTGGCCTTTGAGTCGGATACAATCTTCCATCCTAACACGTAAGTGGTGGAAGGCTACTGTGTGAGAAGTTTCCTTCAATCAGCTTGGCCATCGTCCAGATTGACCGATTGCTATTGCACTGTGACATTACCCTGTGCCTATCTCTTATATCGTGCTCGTTTTTGGCATTGCGAACCGCTTCGTTATATTTGTTACTGGATTTGACGTCGGCTTGTCTGTTCTCTACAGTGGGGCTTTGTAAGAAGGTTCTATGTGCCTTGATCTTCTGCTGGCGAGCAGTGTCACACGATTTGTTAAACCAGCCGTTGGACCCTGGCTTTTAGGCACTTTCACTGTGTGAGGGATGTATTCCTCCATTCCGACGTGGATAATTTAGGTTATCGCAGAATAGACAGCCGACGCATCCGCGTCAGTGAAAAAGACATCTATCTCTCCAAGGAAAGGTAGAGAAGAAGTCTCAGCCCCTCCCAGTCGGCATGTTCGTAATGCCAATTTTTTTGGCCTGTGCGAGTTTCTGCTGCCACAGCGGGTTCTGACCGAAACCTAAGCTCCACAACACAGTGGTCTGAGTTACCCAGGGGGGACAGGATATCAGTGCTGTAAGGGACAGGATGTGTGGTCAGAAAGAGATCCAGCAGGCTACTGGCATGTGACGAGACGCGGGGGAAAAAAGTAGGGCCCGAGGAGCACTACCTCTGAAACGGGGTGATTGATGTTCAGGGAGTCGATCTTGACGGCGAGGTATTCAAGAAGGTCATCCCAGTTATGGTCCGAGGGAGAGTGATAAAGGCAGCAAATATATTTGAGGGATGTTTTGGAGTTGAGGCGAAGCCACAGAATGGCCTTCCGGTCTGATTCCAGAGAAACATCTCTGCAGCAGGAAAGACTACTGCGGACAAAGGCCACAACTCCCCCGTTCTTTCTCAGATTGGAGTGCACCTCGTAATTTGGGAAGCTAAGATGGTTAATCGCTGCGGACTCTGAGATTTTTGTCTCCTCCAAAAAAGCATGGCGGGACGATTGGATTGCAAGTAGTGATTAACAGCATCAATGTTGCTGTTAATCCCGCATATGTTCGTGAAACAAATTTTATCTTCGATGTTGTTCCCTCGGGTCCACCCTCCACCCGGACATTCCGAGAGTGTAGTGAGTTTAGGTCCGGAATTCTTAGTACTCGAGAGATCCATCATCATTAATTTCTTTGTTTTGGAAGATAACCGACTGCATAGCTTAGGTGTAGAAACATGCGGACATTTATAAGACACCCTTTGAAAAGCTAGCGGGTGGTACCGCCTCGGTGGACTGGTCCTTGAGTTTCTGGACAGACCACAGGTGCACCACTAAACAAATCTCATAAATGTCTATTTCCAATTTAGGCGTTCATCTGATATAGTGCTTCGCTGCAACACCAACCCCTAACAAAATCAGTCAAGCTTTACACACACTTTTCAAATTACTATTGAGCAACAAACAGAACATAAATCACTTTTTAAGTGCAATCTGTATAACTAATATATTACCCAGACTTAGATTTGTCACAGGTCGCAATACTCGTATAAACGTATAAATCCTAAGAATTGTGCTATAAACAAGTGATGTCAAAGAGGGACAGTATTTGGAATACCAAAGGATACCAAAAAATCGCAATGCTCAGTTCCTATAGCTATAACTTATAGTTAATATGCCTCTGTCGCCATGATGTGTCAGAAAGTAACACAATAATCAAATTCAAGCGGATAACCAAATGGAAATGGTATTTACCATTTTGGCTTGGTATTTACCAATCCGTTCAAGCGAGTGTAGTTATCAGTTTGGTTATAAGATCCGTGACGTCACGAATCAGCTGTTATATGTCATAGTTATCACCGCAAAATTGTGGTATTTACCCAACTCAAGAGTAGTTTTATATTTCTGGTTATTATTTGAAATGTGACAAGTTAGAATTTTGCCGGGTATTGGATATTGTTATTGTACTTCAGCTTCATTTTTGAGAAAATTGATACAGGCTGACTTCTGTTTTACCATAAAGTGGAGCACCTTATTAGTTATACTCATTACGGTTGTTGGGGACACTTTAAATGTAGTTCCTATGCTTAATAAAGTATCCTGTGTAGCCATATACCACAAGAATATTAAAATATGGTCATATAAACTCACTAGATGATATCCACCTGTCCAGCTTCTCTTTAGTCTCTTCATTTAAATGAAAAGTTATGTTGCTCTGGAATTTTTAAAATGAGCCATTGTCGCCAAATCTGCACAGTTTTAGTACAGCTATGGAACTCGCGTCTGTCCGTGTCAAAAACGGCCGCCATTTCGGCGGAGAAAATCGCATGTAAATTGCCCTAGTACAACGATGAAAGCGGTTTTAGTACCGGTGTTACCGCGTACCCTGCCATCAGTTGCTGCAGATAGTCATTGCAATCGTAAAAATTATAATATTCCGATATTATCAAGTGTAGTATATGTAAACTAATTAATAATAGAGAGGAGTATGTTTGTCCAAAAAAGCAACGAGATATCGATGAGTATTTATTTATGGAAAAGCTTTAAAATATTGGTGGAGGTATTTAAAAAACACCAGGCAAGCACAACATAACCGAATCACAAGAATTTAGGAGTTTTGGTTGCAGAAAAAAGACAGCAGTTTATCAACTGGCCGCGAAAGCCTTAACCAATTTGTCATTACGCTCCTTACTTGGAAAATATGCCGCTCTCCACAAAGTGATTCATAATTACATGCACAACAAAAACATGTTTATTGTTTACATTGAAAATGCAATGGATTGAGAATATCTCAGCAGCGGAGAATGCCTAGTAAAAGTAAATATATTTCCATTTTCTACCACCAGTACAAGTTTATTTTAAAGCTTTTCCATACACAAATAGTCATCAATACTTCATCGCTTCATTTTGGACGAACATACTTCTTTTTATTATTCATTCACACAAACTACACACTATCATAATTTCTACAACTGCAAAGAATATCTGCCGCTGGCAGAGTATGCGGCAACACCGGCTGCTGCTGAGCACTAAAACCTCTTTCATTGTTGAACTAGAGGAACCCACACGATTTTATCTGCCGAAATGGCGACCGTTTTTGACACTGACATGAGAGTTTCATAGCTGATTGTTATTTAAGGTGTTTTTTTGTGCATAATATTGACTCATTTGTCTACCAATGCCTACCAATGTGACAACATTGTATCAACATAATAATAATAATAATACTTACCGGTGGAAACATCTAGCGTCATTAGGCTTGTGCTGCTGCTTGCAAATTATGTAAGACGTAGCACGTCGTGAAATCGTCTAACACCACAATTACCAGCAAACACTCACACTTTTAAGAAATAACACTAAAACAACGTATTCAATGACAGAATTGTCAAAAAATTGAATCATGTCAAGAGTACTTTGATGTTCACTACAGACTATGAGAATAAGGAGACAAACAAATCATTGACTGGTTCCTTCTACCTAGTCTGAATTCAACCAATATGACCAAAATTTTGTAAGGCTTACATCTGGCAACACGGTTCAAAAATCTACCCACTGCGAGAATGCCTGGAGCCTCAGAATTTCAAGACAGTTTAGCGGAAGTTCCTAAATGTCATTTGTCATTTATGTCAAAGTCAATACAAACTTCCGTTGCATGCTGTCAAAGATCGTTCTTTCTATGGTGTGATGGTGGTGTAGCAAGGTAAGTTTCTTATTTTGCCGAAAAATGTACGACTTTTATAGCAATTTTACATAATTTATTGAGTATTTAAAAACTAATCGTCACCTCAAAACTCTTTTTTCAAAAGCACCGCATGCGTTAACAAAATTTTAACGTAATATCGGCGCAATCTTGTGAATCCACATGGCACGTTTACATGTGTTCCACAATTCCTTTATACATTTTCGTTGAAGTAAAAATAATATTTTTGTGTAGTGTTACCTCTGTGAATATGACTATTTTAGTCAGTATTTTTGGGTAAGTACTTAAATGTGTGTTATTTATTGTGATAGTCATGTTCAAAGGGGTCTTGAATATGATTTTATCACAAGCGTGCGTGATAATTCATATTATCTCATTGTTTCAGTTCAAAATGCCGCAAAACGAGTATATTGAGCGTCACCGCAAGCTCTATGGTCGCAGACTCGACTATGAAGAGCGCAAAAGAAAAAAGGAGGCTCGTGAGCCCCATAAGAGGGCTCAAGTGGCCCGAAGTCTTCGCGGAATCAAGGCGAAGATCTTCAACAAGGAGCGCAGAAATGAAAAGATACAGATGAAGAAGAAGATCAAGGCACATGAAGAGAAGAAAGTGAAGAAAACATCCGAGAAAGTAGCTGAAGGGGCACTTCCAGTATATCTGCTGGACAGAGATGTACAATCTAGGGCGAAGGTGCTCTCAAACATGATCAAACAGAAAAGGAAGGAAAAAGCAGGTAAATGGGATGTGCCAATACCAAAAGTCAGAGCACAAGCTGATGCAGAAGTGCTGCGAGTTGTCAAATCAGGCAAGACCAAAAGGAAAGCATGGAAAAGAATGGTCACAAAAGTGACATTTGTTGGAGAGGGCTTCACAAGGAAACCACCAAAGTTTGAAAGATTCATTAGACCTATGGCATTGAGATTCAAAAAAGCACATGTCACTCATCCAGAGCTCAAAGCTACATTCTGTTTGCCTATTATTGGTGTGAAGAAAAATCCAAGCTCTCCGATGTTCACAAGTCTGGGAGTGATCACTAAAGGAACAGTTATAGAAGTCAATATTTCTGAGCTAGGTTTAGTAACACAGGCTGGCAAAGTTGTTTGGGGAAAATATGCTCAAGTTACGAATAATCCTGAGAATGATGGGTGTATTAATGCTGTTCTGTTAGTCTAGTGTTATTTATCTGTATTTTTCAATAAAATATCTAATTTTAATGTCGAATTATTTTTTCCTCTACAAAATACCAAAATATTTCCAATAGTGGGTTGTAAAAATAAGATTGTGTACCTACGTAGTATAAAAGCATAGAGAATGCATTGTAAAAAGTAGCTGAAATTTCAGGTTACAAGCCAATTTCAAGTAACAGTTAGCTATAGTTGTCAGCTACAAAATTTAATTAGACCTAATTGTCAGTTACAAATTTCAAAAAATGTCGGTTACACATGGCAATTAGCTATAATTGTTAGTTGCACTTTTAAAATTGTCTATAATTATCAGTTATAAATTTTAATTAGCTATGTGTTGGTTACAAGTACCAGTTAGCTATAATTGTAGCTGAAAATTCCATTTAGTTATAATTGTAGCTGAAAATTCCATTTCGCTATAAATTGTCAGTTGCACTTAGCTAGAATTTTTCATTGTAATTAGCTAATCACATGTTGCAACTGAATCGTAGCTAATTGAAATCTGTAGCTGAAACTTGTCTTTGACATCTATTGCTAAATGTAACTTGTAGGTGACAAAAAAAATTATATTTTATGCGCAATGTCCTTTCTTATAATCTTACAGTAGTAATTGTTATTGTAAGGTTATGGAAGGCCATGTTAATAAAAAACAGTTATTAATTTATTTGCTGCGTAAATTAAACAAATAAATTGTTGACATTTTGTTCTATTATGTAACTTTATTGCAGAGTTAATAATTTAATTCAGGTTTTATTTATCCATTTAACTTGAAACTAATGACCAAAATATCTGCTTACAGTAAAATACAAATAAATGTCTTTCATGAAAATGAAATATTAGTAATAGTATATTTTATATCGTTATTAAATAAATATGTTGCCAACAACCCTTACAGTTATTGTTAAAAATCAATTTGAAGCGATCAAAATGGCCTTTTTAGTCTATCTGAAGAATCACATTTTGCTGTGAGCTAGGATCATAATTTTAATGTCAACAAAGCAACGGGTTGCATTGACATTCAAAATTCTATGGTTCTTATTTTCTCTTCAAGATAAGGCAGCGCCATGCAGATCTTTGTGAAGACCCTAACCGGCAAGACCATCACCCTAGAGGTTGAGCCATCTGATACAATCGAAAATGTCAAAGCCAAGATCCAGGACAAAGAGGGCATCCCTCCGGATCAGCAGAGGCTAATCTTTGCTGGTAAACAACTGGAAGATGGAAGGACTCTATCTGACTATAATATACAAAAGGAATCAACATTGCATCTGGTGCTAAGGCTTAGGGGTGGTGCAAAGAAACGTAAGAAGAAGAATTACTCCACACCCAAGAAGATCAAGCACAAGAAGAAGAAGGTTAAGCTAGCTGTATTGAAATTCTATAAGGTATAATGATTTTTGATTTTTTTTAACTCGATATTCAACATTCTGATTCATATAAAGCATCATTTAATCATGAGTCTTGAATAATAACTGGTCATGCAGAAGCAAGAGTAGAAAATAATAAAAACTATGACCATTAAAAACCTGGGGCCAAATTTGAGATAGAAAACTGATTTCTTGGGACAACTCTCTTTTTGAGCACCAAGTAGGCTTTGACATGTTGATAGAGGCTCTGTTCATATTTGTGACATTCGTTCTGTTCACAAGCACCTAGCAGCTGAATCTTAGAGCTGTCTGGATTTTATATCATGTCTATGTGATGTCACATCAAGGGCGTCGATATTTTTTTATGCTGTAAAGACTAAAGACATATTATTACATGTAAAAATTAAATAATAATATTTTTGTTTTTCCTTGCTATAACTGGCAAGACTTAATTCAGAAGTTGTAGATTTAGACTGTGTTTCTTGCTCACTTGAATCATTAGCTTCCAAAACTTTTGCTTTTTTACAAAAAAGTCTAATGTTGTTTGACTGGGCCGTTTATTCATATTTTGGGCTGCAATAACAAAAAAAGTTTTGTAAATGTGGTAGCAAATATTTATAGTTTAATAAATAGACAGCGATATCTAAGAGGGTGATTCCATGTTAATAAAAAGAAAAATGTTCTTATAAACATTATGGCTCGGAGAAGCAGCGTTTTAAGATACGGTATTATACTTTACTGTTTTTCCGAAACTATGCAACTTTGGGCATAGGCTTAATTTCATTTTTTCTTGCTTTAACCCAATAAATTTGTTTTGAACCATGAAGAAATATATTTGGGTTTTAATAACACATTTTTTCTAATCAAGTAAATACTTCTTCTGTAAGATAGCAGTTTTTCCTTTTAATGTATTGATTTACTAGCACTAACAACTAGAGGTTTGCAAGTTGGTAAAAATGTTTTTTTAAATCAAAATCACTTGGTTTCTAAGATACACGGTGTCGAAGTAAATCCACCATGTACCTATCAACCTATCTTAAAAACGATGCTTGTTTATACAAAACTTTCTTTTCTGTATTAGGACCGCTAATAATAATAATAATAGACGTCTTTATTTATCCACAATTACATTGTAGTATAGCCAAATGTCACCCTCTAAAATATTTCCGTTAATTTTTCAAACAACCACAAATGAAAAAAAAAATGTTTTGTCATGTAACAGAGCCTTTTAAATGAAATAACTAAATGTCAAACTTTTACTTTGTGTTACTTTTATTTAAACAAACATAATGCAAGCTTGTCATTTCGTGAGACATTTTGTTTAAATTTTACCATAGTTTTACGCCGCAAAAAAACAGTTTTGTATGAAATAAAAAAAAAAGGTATCCCAACAGTATGGGAATATTTACATATTATGGATACAGATATTGTCTAAAGTTTTACTTATACTTTTACTTTCGATATTTTGAAATTTAAAAATACTAACAATGTTAACACGCTAATTTTAAAGAACGCCTTTTTTTCTTATACTTGTATAAGTATAAATGTAAATTAAAACCAATATTTAACCAAGAAAACTAAATAAAAAAAATAATTTGTGCCTTACCTGGATGAACCGTCGTAATCGAAGTAATTCTATTAAAACAAAAGTTCTCACTCTTAAGTATAGTCTTTATAACGCTATAACTAAGTATGCAAATGCAAAAATCTAGGTTATAAAATCACTAAACATCCACTTTAACGCGCTGTTATAACCTCTGCTGAGACCTGAGATAAATGAAAGAGAATACAAAAATAGTACGGGTAGGTACGAGTGATTCCCCGAATTCCAACAAATCGACGAAAGCGCTCCACATCGCGCTGCGTTTGTTTCATGCGTGATCCGTTTTGACGAAAGAGCGTTGTTGCAGGAGTCAGGAAAAATAAATAAATAATAAATGTATTCAATGTAATGCAATAGTTACTTTAGCAATGGACATTTTTTATTTAATATTTTGGTGCAACAATAAATTAATATCAAATATGTTATCATAATAAATAATATGTGAAGTATCTCACGCCAGATACCTCGTCAAATTCCATTAAGCTGTTTAGGCTGTAGCCCGTCAAATTGATATTTGAATTTCCCGGGATAAAAAAGCCTAGGTGATATTCCAGACTACAATATATCTCTGTACCAAATTTCATTCAGATCCATTCATCCATTTTGGAGTGATCGAGTAACAAACACTTGTCTCATTTATTTTATTAGTAGGGAGGTGTACCTCACATCTGTCGAGTGCAGATGCTTTAGCAAGTCTTGTTCATTTTCAGCAGTTATCTGTTCATCAAGATATCATTCATCAGCTGGCTAAAGTGTACTCTAGACAGCACTATGGTTCATTTATTGAGTGGTAGTGCTATCAGCCTTTGAGCGAAGGTTAAAAGAAAATTATGAAGTTTTTGTATTCCAAGTTTGCATATTTTTTTCAGGTTGATGAGAATGGAAAAATCCATAGATTGAGGAGGGAGTGCCCAGCAGAGCAGTGTGGAGCTGGAGTCTTCATGGCTGCAATGGAGGACAGGCACTACTGTGGAAAATGTGGCTACACCTTGGTGTTTGCCAAGCCAGAAGATAAATAATATTATTCGTGTTTGTTTATTTGGTTTTGTAAGAATACGACACCTATTGATTTCAATAAAGAGTAAGTAGGTCGTACTCGTGAATATTATTTCTTTCATGGGGCCTGTCGTCAAATTGATCTCACATTCGGAATCTATATGTTACCGGACAAACCGGATTTTCGGATAAACTAGTTTTTCCTAGGACAAATCAGTTTATCCTAAAAGCGATAGGTGAACTAGTTCATCCTGAAATAAATTAATTATGATTAGGAAAAACTAATTTGTTCTAGTATAAACTGCTGGCGGATTTCTGAAATGAATTTGATATATCTGCGTACAAAAAATTTTATTGGAAGAAGTGGACGGAAACATTGAACTTTTGTTAAGAACCGCAGCATTCAAACATTCAGTTGGAATAGGCCAAAGTTTCTTTAAGTGCTATTGCACCAAGAAGTGTACGTCAAATCGATGCCTTTGCAAGAAAAATAACGTTCTCTGCAACTCGAAATGCCGCAATAATTTGATACGTAATAACAAGTAAATAATAAACGTTATTAAACATGTTTGTAATGTAGTATTTTAGTATTTTCTTCAATTAGTAATAACAACATTACTTTTGTGAAGAGACTGTAGACTAGGACAAATCAATTTTGCCCAATCACACTTAATTGATTTTAGGACAAATTAGTTTAGACTGAGATAAACTAGTTCATCCTATCGGTCTTCGGATACACTGATTTGACCTAGGAAAAACTAGTTTATCCTAATATCGGGTTGGTCCGGTAACATACAAGGTGTCCCAGAAGTCGACGTCAAGCCGAAACCGGGTGATATGCAAAGTCATAACATCTATCAGAAAAATATTTAAAAAAATTTATGTATGTGTTTTGAAAATTATAGGTCTTTGAAAAAAATATAGAAATTTCACACCCTACGGCAGTCTGTCAACTCCTGTTACTACAAATATTAACTTTTTTTGGATTTTATTTTTACAATGTAATGATGAATAATTGCATCTTCAAACTGGTGTCTCAACCTTACTGCCAACTTTTCTCGTTCAGGAAAAACTGCCACTTATTTCCCAACCAAGTATCCAAATTAAAACTTTGCTCAACTTTAACTGGCTGTAGTGGAAAAAAATGTACTACGAGAGTTTGGCAAGTAACCTTAAAAGTTGGCGCATTTAATAACGATTCCAAAATGGTATAACACTTAGAAGATTACTCGTTAACTTATGCACAATTTTTATTTGAAGAAAAACTGATGAAAATTTTTCAAAATTTCCTAATTAAACAGCGATTATGAAAACGCACAAGGACCCTTAAGGATAACTGTTTGCACAACAGTGGGCGTCAAAATGCTGCTGATGATGATTTACCTTTACAGCAAATGCCCAAACTTCAGCCGCAATACACGCTCGACATCTTAAAAAAGATCGAGTTATTAAACGAGCGAATCCACGGTTATTAACAAACTCAGCTGCTTCCAGTAGTCTTTGCCGTAGCCCAGCAACATTTTGAATCGGCTTGAAATACACTTTTTCTTTTACAGTTCCCCAGTAAAAAAAATGTAACGGATTCAAATCTGGTGACCGGGCTGGCCACGGTATTGTACCAAGACCGCCCTATCCATCTGCCCGGAAAGTTTTGATCGAGATACTCTCTCACTGAGAGTGCATAGTGCGCTGGGCAGCCATCATGCTGAAACCACATGTCCCTGTAAATACT